ATGAAATTCATTCGAGGGTCAAACGAGTCATAGCAAGAGATGTTACTTGTTTCTTTTTGTTATGCCAAAAGTAGCTGTAGAACTAACATTTACATTTGTGTTTTGAATACAATCTATTATCTAGTTTGATATCACAATTGATAAAGATAAACTGAAGTGAATTCTGAGAAAATCAAAGTGTAGATTAATAAGATATTTTTTTCTAATCGAAAATTAGAATTGAGTTATTTTATCATTTGTTACTTCATAGTAAGAACAAATTTATCTTGAATTTGAAACGTTATTTAATTATCTGTAATGAAAGTTAACCATTATACTTCATCTTACTTCCTCCTATGACTTCTTTCATATACTGTTGATTTTAACGATATATTTTTCAATGTCTCTTTTCATGCAAAACCATTATATAACCTTTCTGTATCGAGAACAAAGAAGAATAAGTAAATCAATATTAATTGAAAGATCGACTAGTGTTAAAGTCCTTCATTAACAAAGATTATCTATGGTATGAATTTCTTCTACTGAATTGAAACTAGACAGTTAAGTGAAATATTATTTAACATTAGACACTTCTCATTTCAAGTAGCTCTTACTCCTATCAAACTAACAGTCAAATTCCATATCGCGCACATTTCTTCTCACTACCGCCGGTAGCACCATCAACACCCGGTTCCAGATCTGAATTCTTGCAGAGAGTATTTCGTGTCCAAGTTTGAAATCGCTACTGACAAAAATTCAAAATTATGAATGTGCCGATATTGATGACACGGCTCGCTGCTCTTCCTCTTTCCTCTTTCCTCTTTCTCTCTCTACTGTTCTCTCTGTGTCGTCTCTCTCCCATTGTTTCTGTATCATATATAAGTGTGTGTTGAATGTGCAATAGACACATTCTGGAGATGTGAAGTAGCTAATAAACATCATTATCGAGGGTGGCGGTAAGCTACTCCTCCAGTCTGTCATTACATCATCTTCTCTCCTTTTATCGTTACATGGCGACCCTGGCGAGCGAATACATGCATATTCTGAAACGAAGTTGGAAGATTCCAGAATCAAGAAGAATTCAAAATTATCAAACTTCCATTGAAGATACAAGTGAATATCAAGGTATGATAAATAATTTGAATGAGTGATGAATGCATGCGGCGATTAGAGTTGAATGACATGGCAGTGTTTTAAGTCTGTGGGGCACTGTCACAGACCATCAGTGGACGTACTAAAGGGCGGCTAGATCGCGGGCCGGCAGTGCGTAGGGTTGGCGCACTTTCCTTTGTAATATCTGTACGTTTCCTGTCATTTCTCCTCGAATCCTTGAGTCATTTCTCACGTAATTCAAATTTATTTTCTCTGCCAAAACAAAATAAAAAAAAAGAAGCAGCAACAGAACAAATGGATATCGATGAACATGAAATTGATTGTGTATCAGCTGTAAACAATGTATATTCATTCATCATCAATATTCACTTCGTGTTGTCAATCACCACCAACAGTTATTCAGCTGAACATCTTGCTAACTAACGATGCGTAACAATCAAATATTAGAAGAAACATAAAATTAAATGAAGATGTTATCCTTAAAAGGCCTGAAGCCAGTGAAGAATTTAAAACGAAAGTAATTATAGTGATGATACTGATTAGAAAGTGTGAATTTTTTTTTCTCTCTTCTTCTCCGGCGAAACATAAATAGAAGATGGGTTAAATGATAATCTTTTATGTTCGATCATGTAGATAATCGAAATATGATGCGATATTTTTCTATAAGCTATGTGTTCGTTTTTGTAATAATCTAGTAAGTAAGACAAAACAAGAAACCGTTCTAGGTATCGTTTATGCACTAGACAAGAGTTTCTATCCTGTATGAATTAGAATATTTATGTCTACTTATGGTTAAAATTATACTAAGCTTGTGTAACCGATGACTTGTGTTTTTTTTCTCGTTCTCTAAAATTGATATGTGTTGTTGTTCGACATTGCGTCCTACGAATGTGAAAATGTGCGAAAAAGGTGACTGATCATATGCGTGTTATGAATTCTATATTTCTATATTGTTTCATTTCTGTGTGCTCTGTCAAAATTTTTTTTTGTGTGATGATTGAAGCTGTGACGATCATTATTTGTATGCTGTGTTCGTGTTGACTGATCTTCTATTTATATTTGAAACGTGTTGCCGAATTTATGAGTTTGAAATGTGATGATCACTCCTTTAAAAAGCTTGTTCCTCTTTTTCTTGACTGCTCTGTTCGTGACTCGATGCTATGATACTGTGAAGACGTGTGTTGATATGAAGTTATGTATGAAAGTCGATATTGTCGTTCGTGTATGACTGTATTTTCTACGATGAAGTTCAATCAATGAACTTGTTTTGATGTATTCTTTCTTTCATCTAATTATTTTTTATCGTTTCTGTTTTTCTTTTCTAAATTGTAAAGACGCTCAGGAGCGCGTCTCATCTGAGTGGGAGGGTGTGCCGATATATGCGTCACGGCTCGCTGCTCTTCTTCTTTCCTCTTTCCTCTTTCTCTCTCTACTGTTCTCTCTGTGTCGTCTCTCTCCCATTGTTTCTGTATCATATATAAGTGTGTGTTGAATGTGCAATAGACACATTCTGGAGATGTGAAGTAGCTAATAAACATCATTATCGAGGGTGGCGGTAAGCTACTCCTCCAGTCTGTCATTACATCATCTTCTCTCCTTTTATCGTTACAATGAAGAAAACAATTTTTTAATCTTTCCATTGTCCTCTATACTGAAAAATTGATCTCAGTGCCGGGATTAATTTGAGCTCTATGGCTAAAACAGGCAGCTTAGGCGCATCAACATAGTTAGTAGATCCTGAAACGGTTTTATCAGACTTAAAAAATATTCAGCCGTTTCGATATACAATAAGACAATGTATTATTTATCGAAAAAAACCGATAGTATAACCACCTTACCTAGATGTCGTATCTCGATGGTGTATTCGAATTGATTGATACACTTAGGTGTCCTTTGTCGGAGGAAATGACGTACTATTCTTGAATATTCGATGAAAGAAAGAGACACATGAATTCAATGAAACGAAAATTAACTTCTAATGAATTCTTAGAGAAAAATCCAAAGAGAATATCAAGTAAGTTATATGTATTATAGATATAAGTATTTTTCTATTTTAATTCTAATAGATAAATTTGATCAATAAATAACTTGTTTTGAAAACTTATCCATGAAATATTCGATTATATCAATGATCGTTGTTTACACAAAGCATTTTCAAATCTTAATCATCGCTTTCAACAACTTCTAAGTTCTTCATCTGTTCTATTCAAAATTAAACTTTCTGTATCATTAGATAGAATACACGACGATCATTCTATGGATTCTACAGAGTGTGTACTCTCTCATAAACATCAAATATTATCCATCCATACGTATATGCCATACCTTAATAGTCCGTTAATTTCATCTTTTATTACAATCGATTCGTCATTGGAACGTCTCGAATCACTTGTTCTTCATAATATTCAATCAGATGTTCTAATTTCAGTTCTTATTGATTTAGCTTTTCTACCTCGTTTTTTCTTGTTAACTATTGAAGCAGAACATGATTTTATAAATCTAAATGACGTCTATTCATTAATATTTGCCTTACCTAAATTAAAATATAATAAATTTTCCTTACATGGAATGAAACGATCAATTTCACTCCCGATGTCTACCAATAAACAACTGAGTACTATGGAATATCTTATTGTTATGCATCAGCTGACTTTCAAAGAACTTTCTAACATGCGGTGCAAAAGTCTTTGCAAAAATGTTCGACTCTATTAGACCATATTGCCAACTTCTAAACCAATCAAATTTTTTTTTTGTTGGAAAGAGCAATGTCTGAACTACAAATTTTGTACCAGACATATTTTTCCAAAATGAATCTCAGAAGGAGGAAAAGGCAAAAACCAAATACCTCTAAAAAAGCTTTTGCAACGTTTTTACAAGTTGAACAGTTTTTATTTCTCAATTATTTTGAGCTACATAGACCGGATTCTAACAAAAAATACGCCATATTATACCGCATCAAAAGGACTATTTATATCAGCTTTGGTAAAATTTTTTAGATCAATTCTCGACTCTTTAATCAAAAACATTTGAAAATTGAAATTTTTGTAAAAGGAAGTCTTTTGCAAGAACTATCGCTTTGGAAGCACATTAGCCACAACTCCTAACAATCATGCATGAACTCAATTCTTTGTGCGTTATTTGTTCGAAATACATCAAATTATAAAAACTAAGCAGAAAAAAACAATTCAAAAAGTATTTTTTATTGATGGAAAACGGTCAGGTAGCTGGAACGATCAAACTGCGCAGTTTCTTTCAGAAAAACCTATATTTTGGTATAAAATCTAAGAGTAAATTTAGCTTCCAATATACCATTGGAAAGAGCACTCTTTTTGCTACAAAAATCAACATTAAACGTATTTTTCCGTTTCTCTTCTGATATAAAAAAAATAACAAAAAAGAGAAAATGATATTGCGCTATACCGAAGTTGCAAGAACTTTTTTGGAGGTATTTGGTTTTTGCCTTTTCCTCCTTCTGAGATTCATTTTGGAAAAATATGTCTGGTACAAAATTTGTAGTTCAGACATTGCTCTTTCCAACAAAAAAAAAATTTGATTGGTTTAGAAGTTGGCAATATGGTCTAATAGAGTCGAACATTTTTGCAAAGACTTTTGCACCGCATGTTATTCTTACATCTTATGTTTTGGCATATATTAGATAGTAATGAAAATATTGCAACTATTTTACTAATCACATTATCAAATTTAGCATATCTTTCTATACATCTCTTTGATGCAAAATTTAATGAATTTGAAACGTTTATTAGAAAAATCTATTCAAAATTAAAAGTTTTGCGTGTTATTATTCAATCTAAAGATATTGATTTTATTGATGCTCATCGATGGAAACAACTAATTTTACAATATTTACCTCAATTGGAAAAATTTTATTTATATTAATGATGATCACATATATTCAATATATTCTGGAGGATTAAATCAATTCTCTTCATCATTTTGGCTAAAACACCGATGGATATTTGATGTTAAAATTGCTGTAAAAGAAATGATATATTCCATTAGTTCATATAGGTAGATTGAAAGGAGTCTTTTATATAAAACTTAATTCTTTTGTCTTTTTTAGAAAAAAATGGTTTGAATATACACCAGATAAAATTGTCAATTCTTCAAGTGATCTTGTTCAATCCAATCGATTGATCCTTATATGTATTTCTTATCAATTTGATGAATTAATAAATTTTAAAATCAAACGTGTTTTAACTATAGTACAAATTTATTATTTAGAAATTCTAGAAAAAGATATTTGTATTGACCAATTAATCCAGATTATAAATTCATTACCAGATCTTAATTCAATAAAGATTCATGCATTATTATTAGCTCAATCAACAGATTTATGCGGAGCAAAAGTTGATATTCATAGCTCAACAAACCGTACAAATAAAATTACAAAAGTTTATCTTAAAAACTATGACTGAAATTGAAGAAATTTATTTTCTTATGACACTTTATCCAAATATAGAATATCTAAAAATAGGTTAAATTGAAAATATAGATGATCAATTATTTGTAGAAAATTAATGAAGAATATAATGATCATCTTTGTTTATTATATTTTCAAGTTTCAGCTGATGATGATGAAACGATAAAAAAGTTTAAAAAAATTGATTCATTTAAAAAAACTTCTTCGTGATTTCACAATTAAACGTGTACTTGAGAAGATTTATTTAGAATGGAAATGATTATAATATACGTAGAATCCATTCTTCTGTAAAAATCAAAGATCTTTTGTATTAAAATATTGTTTTTTTTTCCTCAGGTTCACCAAGTTGCAAATAAATAAGTTTAAAAAAAAATTATCTTTTTATAGAGGTAAGCCAACTTTTTTTATGACGTTGAATTAATATAAAGATCAGGCAATATCACTTATCAGTTCATATTAAGAAAAAAAACATTAACATATATTTCATAGTTTGAATAAAATCTTAAAATTTGATAGTTAATATCTCATCGGATGTATACTTCGTTGGAAAGAAAAAGAATCAAATGTCATCGCTTTCCTATATAATCATAACATTTGCAAACGTGTAAATCGATCGTAGTAAATTATATGAAATTTTCTAAGAAATATAGTGATCAACTTAATCGAAAAGTAAATTTTAATCAATTATTGATATAGAAATAAAAGAAATGATGAAGTAAGATCTTCATGTAGATGATGTAAATTTAATTTACATTTTTTTGATAATTGATGAATTTAATCTTAAGATTAATTCTATTGAAAATTAATTCAATCAATTATTTTATAATTATAATCATCATTTAAACAGCTCTTCAATTCTTCACCTCTTTTACTTTGAGCTTTAATCAAACAGCATCAGAAAAAAATATTTCTGAATAATTTTTAAGAATTTACTCTTCTTAATAAGTGTGCCGATATATACGTCACGGGTCACTACTCTTTCTATTGTTCTCTCTCTTTGTTTCTCTATTATATATACGCGTGTGTTGAATGTGAAATAGACACATTCTAGAGATGTTAAGTAGCTAATAAATATCATTACCGAGGGTGGCAGTAAGCTACTCCCGTCTGTCATACCATTTCCTTTTTATTTATCGTTACAATAGACAAAAGATATTTTCATATCTATTAAAATAATTGAAATCATGTAATTATTTTGGTTTTTTTTTTGAATGACTGCTGTTGAATTAATAAAATTATTCAAACCTAATTGACAAAATCGAATCAATTTAGTTTTTTCTACAAATCATATTCGTATCATGAGAATTATGAAAAAGTAATGAAAGGAATAAAAAACCTTTCATGAAATAGCTAAAAATAATCATTATAAACGAATTTGTCTGATTATTTCACTTTGTGAGACATAGTTATTGAAAATCCTTTCATCAGATTTTCAGGAAACATCGCAGAGATCAACTAAGGGCAAAGGATCCTGTTGATCTGTCCATAGTCATTATATATTGTTTTTCAAAAAAATCGAGCACCAATAAAAACAAGAAAATCTTGTTAAAATAATGTCTTCTTGTATTAGTTGAACACGAACGAGTGCTTTGCTGAATCTTAATGGAAACACATTCTAGTTTGCCGATATGTGTTATCTTCTTTATTTAGATAAAAGCATTCATCACCGTTCTCGATCACAAATAGCTAAAATAGAGAAAGACATGATCATGCTTATCGATAATGGAATCAACCATGACAAGCATTTACTTGTTTTTCTGCTAATCTTCAAATAAAACGCTAAGTTTTTTCTTATGTAAAAAAACTCAATGTTATAACAAAAGAAAACTAATTAGGGCTGTACAGCGCACGCTCACGCTCATGAGCCTGAGCGGCTTTTCACTCAGGGTGTGAGTGTGATAGTGGTGGGATGTGAGTGTTTGAATAATTGTCCACATCCATACGCCCACACCCTTCGTGTGAGGATGGGATTGAAGAGACCATGAACATCACGCCCACACACTCACATTCTTAACTCCCCACACATCCATCCCAAGTGGGTGTGAGTGAGGGCTTGTTTTTTTTCTGTTAACGTACGAGGACATCCAAATCTACGGCCATATCCAGCCACACCAATCCACACTCTATTTTGAACCCGCACTCACAGCCATACCCTAGTGTGGGTGTGACCTTGGGTTTGGATGTCCTCATAGGTTAACAGAAAAAACACACCCACATTACACCCTCTAGAGAAGTGATACAAATTTTAAAAAATGGTCACTTTGTTTGTAGTTGATTGATCAATGACATTGATTGTTCAGCTTGACGGAAATTTCAAAAATCAAGTCTTTTTTTAAATGCATTTAATCGATGGCGTTATTTATCTTTATCCATTTGTGAGCAATGAATTCTATGGTCTTGATTTCTATTGGTGCGTTATGCTTTTATACGACTTTCTTAATTCTTTCTGTTTTTTTCTCATGCATGTGCAATTTGTACCGTACGTAGAAATGAAAAAATTACTGTTCTCTTCATATATGACTATTTTGATGTTAAAATAAGTTATTTGCTCATATGTCTTACTTGCATAAGAGCAATAACATGAGAAAAATCCCATTTCAGAATGCATAAAACGGTAGGAATGAAAAAACAAATCTCACAGAATTATTTTTTTTTATAGAGAACGATTAATATGGCGTGTTCAGAAGCCACAAGTGAATTATGCACTGATGAATTTTATCGTTTGGCAAAAGATTTTCATTGTTCATATGGAAATGGAGGCGACAGTTTTCTTCACTATCCGGTTTGGATTAATGAATCAATGAAATTAAATGAATGTCGAGAAAGACTAGTTCAAGCATTACACAAACACAATGATCAAAGACAAAATCATCAACATGAACCGTCACCAGTTGAAGATATTATCGATCCCGATCTACTAGTATGCCGTCCATCACAGTTTGATCGTGAGATATGGATTAAAAAGCGTGTTAAGGGATACAAAGACGTTGATTATGATCGGTATGATGATGATGATGAAAAACTAGAAAAGAAAGCGACAGTTGAATTAGATAAGGAAATTACTGAACATGTTAAACTTCGTAGTACATACCAATGGATGCCTGCTATCTTTCAAATTGATCAAAATAGTCATGTCACAATTACAACACCTATTCCCCAATTAGAAAAAACATCTGAAAATGAACAACTTTACCGAGACATTGCACAGGTGTTTGAAGCGATGTTACCAGCATTTCGAAAGGCAGAAATAGTTGGTTCTGAAGCTACAGCAGGAAATAGTCTTCAAGTTATTGTGAAAGCTCAAAGTTATAATTTAAAATCAGATCCGCAATAAGCTATTTGCTTTCTTCATTTCGATTAAGAAAAATATTTTGAAATTATAGGTATGAAATATGTTGGTCGATGGCATACAGAAGGTAGTACAGAAAATATCATTGCAGCTGGTGTCTATTATGCACATGTTGATGAGAGATTGGAAGGCGGAGCACTGAAATTCTGTCCTGTATCTGCACCAACACCCACACCCACACCCACACCCACTCACACTCTCACCCACACCTAGGGGTGCAACAAATCCTGTTTTTCTGCAAAAAGATTGAAAATTTTCGGTCTGAAAACTCCCCAAATCCACCCAAATCTTTTTGTCAGTTATATGCAGTTTCATTCGCTCTATCTGATGGTATTATTTGTTTACCAAATCCCGTAAGAGATTTGGTAAAGATTTGGTGAATTTATGCACATTTTTCGACAAATCTCACCAAATGTTTACCAAATCTCTTACGGGATTTGGTAAACAAATAATACCATTAGATAGAGCGAATAAAACTGCATATATCTGACTCAAAGATTTGGTGAGATTTGGGTGGATTTGGGGGAGTTTTCATATCAAAAACTTACAACCAGTTTTGCAGAAAAACAGGATTTGTTGCACCCCTATCCACACCCACACAACCACACCCCACACCCACCCAGCCACACCCACACCCACCCACACCTACCCACACCCCACACCCACACCCACACACCCAGCTACACCCCACATCCACACACCCAGCTACACCCCACACCCACACCCAGCCACACCCCACACCCACACCCACCCACACCCACCCACACTCACCCACACCCCACACCCACACCCACCCACACACCCAGCCACACCCCACACCCACACCCTCGTTGGTTGTAATTATGGAACAAGCTGTGCCTTTCATCTACATATGCATCGATGTCCTTATCAATTTCGAAAATCTTATAAAATCATGAGCATAACTAGAGCCGATAGTAATGTAGTTTTTATATAATCCAATTTATTTTGAAGAATAGTTTCCAGAAATAGTTTCTTTTTCATTATGACGCAGTTACACTACTCAAAGCCATATCAATGTTGTTGTAGTTTATTATTTCTTGGGTACTAATTTGATCTTCCTTTGACACTTTTCGATGTCAGGATGGTTATTTGGTAAAGCTTTGTAACAAATATCTAGTGCCTTTTTGTAATGTTCTGAAGCCAATTGATACTGACCACTTTGCTGGTAACAATCTCCGATAGCAAGACAAATAGTAATTAAGTCAGGATGATGAACTGGTAGAGAATCATGAAATGCTTGCAATGCTTCCTTGAACAGGGTGAAGTGGTTATCATTACGCGATGCTTTTAAAAGCAATATTGCTTGACTCATTTTGAGCCATCCATATGAGGAATGTTTTTTCGGCAGATCCTTTGTTTCAGCCATGTCGCTTGCTTTTTGAATGTTATCCTCTGCTTGCCCCTGATCACCTAACTCCGAATAAGTAAGAGCCATTTGACTGTAGAGCTTGACTACATGAGCATAATCGATTTTCTCAGATTCCAAACGAAATCTTAGAGCATTCTCCAAATAACTGATTGCAGATGAAAAGTCGCGCATTTTAAAATAAATCGTGGCAATATTGCTGTCTGTAGTCGCAATGGAGTCAGCACTAGCTGTACTTAGATGCAATCCGTTAATATGATAAGCCGCAATGTAGTATTGCAAAGCTGTTTCATAGTCCCCAAGCCAAAAATATACTCCACCCCAGTTGTTGTATACAACTGCTAGTTCAGGATCATTATTAGGTAAAGAAGCGTCCATGATTGTGCAGATTTTTTCAACGTTAGCGTATTCACCCCGATCCAGTAAGAATCCGGCAAATGTCAAAAGTGAACTGGATTCACCGATTCCAGCCTTCAGATGACTAATAGCCTTTTCGATTTCTTTGTCTTGTTCTCCGCTCAAAGTCATATGAATGTTCGAAATATTATCTTCTATTTTTTCCACACCATCAATTTTAAATACACTACCCACTGAGAGTAAAACTTCGTGTTCTTCAGAATAATTACTGACGGATGCCAGATAAGCATATGGTTGAACTTTGGGTGATGCTGTTAAACGAATGGTAAATAAAACTGGTTGGAAATGAGGTCGTGGTGAATGACTCATGTACCGTAATGCAACTTGACGGTCGATACTTGTCGAGAAGAAAGTATTTATAGAAATCAATGAATTTATTTTACTTTCCAGTTTTTCTACTTCAGTGATGCTCATTATTTGACCGCGGTATACGACCATTTCGGCTGCATTTTGCGATTCTAATTGACGATGTAAGGTAACGATTTGCTGATGCATATGTTTGATAAGTACACGACAGGTAAGAATTCTCATCGTGTCGTTCGAACGAAGACTTCTGTTTAATAAGCGATAAAAAAAACTTTCACGAGTATACCACCATAATGCCTTTTCAGCGTCGTACTCTAGGTTGAATTCATCGATAATTTTACGTTCGGTATCATTATTAGCATAATGTTCTTGACAATAATCTACCATTTCTTGCTTAGATTTATCATCATCTGATTTAGGCAGACGAAAAATAATTTCGAGAAGATAATGAAAAGAGATAAACCAAGCATTTTCTTTACTGAGCTCGCGTGTTGATTGATCTGTATTGTTTGGTTGAAAAACTGTGAAGTCATCAGTAATCGTTTGAAACGAAGCCATATCACACCGAACTTGATATGCCAGCATATCAGAGTCGCTGAAAATGCCCCTGATTTTTCGATCTTCACGATAATTGGGATTCTGCACGCCATCTGAACATAGATAGATCGCTCGAACTTGCGGCATATTAAGCATAGCGATCGTATCATTTTCAGAAAGTAGTCCATATACAATAATAAATATGCTATCAGAGCTCACAGATGACATTTTGGAAATACAAGCGTTTACATCGTTATATACTTGCAGCTGGGAGAAAGTGTTGACAACGACATTCTGCATAGAAGATACAGAAGGCTGAAGCGTTGAATCGACATTAAGCCAAATCAGTAGTGTATCGTAAGTTGGCTCCGAGTTTCTATGACTTACGATTGACCTTGAAGGAGAAAAAAGATGCCCCGATATTGTTCGTTCATTGCTACTAAGTATTAGTTACCTAGATGATGTTACAGATCGTCTGACTCTCCTAGGAGCCATGCTACGGCTTATATCATCACTGACATTCGATTCATAATTTTCAACCACAATGGTTGAATTTTCTTGGGCAGATTTTTGGATGTTGACTGACAAGTTTTCCTGAGGTATTTGCTTTGATTCAATATTAGGTAGCGATTTATTTGGAATACACCCCATGTTGATGAGTAAAATATCTTAAATGATGAAATCGTTTAATCTTCTTATCATTGCTATCGTTATGAGCACTTGACAGCAGCAATTTGACAGGTAAATATGAAACATTATGCCATAAGAAAAATAAGTGAAGTATGCTCACAGATTTTATAGCATTCATGAATTGGTTAACGATAAGGCACAGATGACAATATCCTGCGTAACAAATATGCTATGCAATAACCATGCATATGTTGAGTTAGGGAATTTGAGTTAATTTATTGTAATGGGATTGACATCAGAATCTATACCCACATTCATATGGAGAATGGATGTACCTATGGCTTTAAATGTCGAGATGGATGTGTATTGGTGTCGTCTCTTACATCCACATATCAGCTCAAAATTCTCAACTCTATACGCATATAGGTACGAATTAGATAGTCGTCTTATTACACTGAACTTTCTCAAAACTGTTAAATTGGCGTTATATGCGAAAGTGAAGTGGACGTAACTGAAGGCAGCTAAACAATTTTCCGTTTTCCAGGATCTTTCGAAACCTGGCTATTTGTAAAGCAAGCGAACACCCATGAACACTCCTAAATCGGAAAGTAGTATCACTAGTAGATGCAACTCGGTGGGCTGGTTCTTCGAACACTCACGAACACTGAAAATGGTTGAATATACGAGTCATTGTCCAAAGCACACTGTCTTTTCGAATCTACGAATACCCATATTTGTTGACAGCGAGTAGGCCTACTCGAGTTAGGTATATGCCTAAAATTTCAGCCTTTAATATGCTTGCATAAAGAAAATAACAGGAACCGACTTTTCCAATGTTAATCCTTCTAATCGAATTCGGAATACATAAGCGAAATTAAAGTATGAGGTAGATATGCACCAGTACAGTCGGACTGGGTACCAGTCGGACTGGGTACCCAGTCATGACTGGTACCCAGTCCGACTGGTACCCAGTCATGACTGGTACCCAGTCTGACTGGTACCCAGTCATGACTGGTACCCAGTCTGACTGGTACCCAGTCATGACTGGGTATCCAGTCATGACTGGGTCATCAATCATTTGATCTTTAGTTTATTAAATGAATAATACTTCCGTCTTTTTTGTCTCATAATAAATTGATATGAACCTATTAAAGACCTAATACGAGCTATATCATAACATTAATTGGTTATTCTTGTGTTACTATATGATGTCAACTATGGTCTCATATGGTATTATAAACTAATTTGCCAGATATTCATTAAATTTTTCTGAAAAACAGATTCGATATAGGTAGGGATGCACCAGTCCGACCGGATACTCAGTCATGACTAGGGGTGCAACGGTGACGATAACCGGCCTAATCGGTAACTGGTCTATCGGTAACCGGTGAACCAGTAACTGATATGAACCGGTAACTGGTATAAACCGGTAACTGGTATGAACCGGTAACTGGAATGAACCGGTAACTGGTATGAACCGGTAACTGGAATGAAGCGGTAACTGGTATGAACCGGTAACTGGTATGAACCGGTAA